CTCAGTTCATTCGAGAGGTGAATATTAAGAGAAAGTTTTTGGGCCCTCTGAGCCCTTTTTATAGAGAGTAGTAGACCTTGCTCACACGCTGGCTCAAAAATGACTCAAAAAAACTTGCAAGGGGAAAATTATAGAAAAATGACAATAGCTAGAAATCTCATAGGCTAGAGCCACTCTAGTTCAGTTACACTAAAGTTGGCACACCCCACTTCCGGCTTGCTTTCTGACATTCTTCAAGAGACGGGAAGGTGAACTTCTTACGCCTGTCCCTGCTTTCTCTTTGACATCTAAATTTTACGAAATTTCATTGTAAATAAATATCAATACTAAGATAGAATACAATTGAACATAACTAGGTTTACGGGCAGATTTGACTGATTATGGAATTGAAAAAATAATTCAGAATTTTTGGTAAGATTTTGGTTAACATGTTTCTTACTTTGAATTGTTGGAGAGCAAGTTGACTCATGGTGCCCTGGTAAATCAAAAATTCTGTTATATGTGTTGGAGGCAGGAGTACAGACCTCTCCTAACATCTCTGAGTCATGAAAAAGGTTGTATATAAAATCATTAGTTTTATGAAAAGGAGTTACTCTGTAAATTATGCGTCTGCGAACATGAACGGTAAAAATTAGATGATCCTTGAAAATTCATAAAGTAGTTCTGCTAGTTTTACCATAGTTAATACTTCTGTATACTATCTGTGACTGTTGCTTGCTACAGGTGCAGCATGTATAGGTTTTTTTTTATTTCAACTGTATGTTATAGTTTTAGCATTAAATGTTATTTTTGATAACTCGTAGTCATTCTAGCGTTGTATCTCAGTACGGCTGTTCCTAGTTAAACTTCTGCATCTAGTAGTTTTTACAGTTATTTCGCTTTACTGCATTTAAAATTGTTTTATTTGCTTTTCATTTCCAGTCAGCATATGCAACTATGCATGTGCATGAATCATGATTGGTCATTGTGCTGCAGATACAAGCAACTTGCAGGTTATTTACTTCTTTTTAGATGTACGTTGGTTCTTGCTCAAAATACTTTTAAATCAACATGGAAAGTTTTGAAGGAATGAAGGAAGAAAACAAATTATTAGTAAATACATTAACAATTGTTTACCAACATTACAATGAATTCAAAGAAACAGACCCTTGGTTTGTCTAGATCACTGGATATTTAAATATTTTTTTTGTAATATTCAGGTTTCAGGTATTGACCTATCTGGGGCTTCAAAGGTTTTGGTTCAGTGATTTCATAGAAAAAATGCTAAATGTGTGTCTAAACGTTTTGAGCAAAGAGTACGATACTTTGAACTTATGAAAACAGAGTTTTTTCGAATCATCCTTTTACTATATTAGATATGCACTTCAAATTTACAAAACTTTAGAATGACCTTGTAGTCAGCGAAGGCAGTCGCAAAATTAAAATGTTCTCAAACCCTAGACACTTATGTATCATGCAAGAAGAAGACTTAAGGGTCTAAGTGGCATTATAATATGTTTTATTGTCCACATATCATATGATTTAAGCAGTAAAGTATTCTTTTCAAAGTGTTTCGACACTATTTAGGCTTCTAAAACATTTAAATAAAAATTTGAAAAAGATTGACGCAATTTTATTACATTTCTGGGTTTAAAATTTTTTGCCATATGCCAATTAATTTTTGTCGTTTTATGATGATTAAACAAAAGCCGTCCTGATAATCAGATAGAATTTTTAATTAGTTTTTGATACATCGAACTTAAAACAAAGAAAAAATTAATGCAAATATTGACCGAAAGATAATTAAGTCAATTTAACATGTAAGACTTTTTCAAATACTTATTGAAATACATATCGTATGTAAAAGCGTTTATATTCAACCAAAAATTTTTAATTTATACAACTACTAAGGAGTTAATTTTTTCATTTTTAAATTTTTAGAAAGTAATTAAAAAAATTTTAATGTTTATTAACCATTAAACAAAATTTTTTAATTTTGTTTTGTTTATAATGATATTGGTGTAGTACGGAAATGCTTTTCCTTGTTAATGTTGCTTACGTTATCACAAAAAGTGTATACGCAACGAGGTACCAAAGCATGACATTTACTCCCTAGATTCCTTTTTATGCTGAATATGTGAATGTAATCTTCTGGAAGTAGTCAAGACGATTTTTCACTAAGGTCGAAGTCCATACATTTGTTCTCAAAAAGAAAAAGATCGCAAAGATCTTTTATTCTGCAGATATAATGATTAATACATGAGTTGCTAGTATAAAGATAGTCTTATTAACAGCCTTGTTATTAATGACTTGCATGACTGACTTAACGTCCCCATAATGTACTAGGAGTCATATTTAACTAGGTGCTGTTTCTGATGATTGTAGTGTGCTCAAATTATAAAAAAAAGATTACAACGTAGTACTTCATGTACATGATATAACTGGTTGAATGTGGTAAGAAAATATAACTTAGTTATTTATTTTAATTGTTCAGTTCCTAAAGTGTGATATTTTACAAAATTAATTACTGATCTTCTGAGCATTATGTAATTTTTTTTGAAAATACCTCAACTTATGTATCTGAATAAAATAAAATCCAATACCATAGTTTATATAGTTCCTTATGAACTAAAAACTTGTTATTAGACAGACATATATTAAAATTTATTAGACAGATTCATTGTAATATTTATTTGAAATCTCTATATACACCATTTGAATTAGTTGACAATCCATGTGCAGATAGTCGAATAGTTTAATGATCCTGCTATAATAGCTTTTCACTAAGAGTAAAAAGGTGTACCTGATATTTTCTGAAGTGCAGCAAGAAAATACACAGGCTTTTATTGTGATTTTTAGAATAATAGTTCTATTTAATAGTTGACCAATATGAAATTATCTTAAGGCTTTTCGTAAAGTCATGATAGGGTCATTTTATTTAGTATAGAAACACTTAACTAAAAATTGAATACTTAACAAATCCTGCAAGCTATTAAGAGAATATTAAGTTTGTTAAAAAGTAAAATTATATTTGCCTGATTTTATCTGTCATTGTATTTCTTGACAGTTACCTGAGATTGTTAGTTAGTGATTTATTAAAAGGGTATATTAAATAAAACTTGTTTAAACAAAAATTTTCTAGTACATTTGCTGTATAAAACTGAAAATTTTTTGAAATGTCATTGGAATGAGCATTTTCTTTCTGTTATTTTAATTGAAGATGTAGATACGACCTAAGAAACCAAACGATTTGTTAAGCATTATTACTCTTAACTAATTAGCTTCTATCGCTAATAGTTCTCTTATTTTCGCTTAAATCATTTTTTAAGATGTTATAAAACATGTTACTACGTTAAATTTACTACTATAACGAATATTGCCTTACTATGGTCAACACACTAAGTACCTTAACCATGTTTCTTCGAAGCACAAAATTCTGGGGTTCTATTTTTTGTAAGGATTCTATTAAAGAATTGTTTTGTATGTTTCGACGATTCAGACGAAATCTAAGCCCAGGTTGGTCCAGGACAAAAGCTATGCTTTTTTGACGTCCTGGGCAAATGTTATGCCCTTTTTTCTAATTCAGACGAAAACTATGCCCTTTTTTTGAGTCTGGGCAAAGACTATGCCCTTTTCTTAAGCCTAGAGGGAAACGATGAGAATTTTTCTAGTCTAGATGAAAACTATGCCCTTTTTCTGATCCCAGATGAAGACTATGCCCTTTTCTGACGTCCAGACAAGGACTATGCCTTTTTTTCTAGTTTGAACGAAAACTAAAAAATTTTTTAATTTTGTTTTGTTTATAATGATATTGGTGTAGTACGGAAATGCTTTTCCTTGTTAATGTTGCTTACGTTATCACAAAAAGTGTATACGCAACGAGGTACCAAAGCATGACATTTACTCCCTAGATTCCTTTTTATGCTGAATATGTGAANTTTTCTGATCCCAGATGAAGACTATGCCCTTTTCTGACGTCCAGACAAGGACTATGCCTTTTTTTCTAGTTTGAACGAAAACTAAAAAATTTTTTCTGAGTCTAGGATAAAACTGTACTCATGTTTGAATGACAAATAAGTTTAAAAACGTTCAAATATTATTTACTGACTCCTATTGTTTTATACTTTTCCTAAAACAAAAAAACCTCTCCAGATTTGCCGAATAATGCTTTTGGTGGCTAACAGCTACTAGTAAGCTGAAATAAGCTTACAAATATGAAGCTCCTGCAAACAATTCAACATTTTATAATAAGGTTTTGAAATACTTGTGCAAAAGTGTTTGTATTAAAAGTTTTATCTTGACATGGGATTCACATGCACGTTAATCTATGAATGCCTTTGCAAAAAAACAACATATAATCGATATCCTTAGCAAGTCTAGTGGCTTCAATATTTGAAGTTTTAGTAGGTGTCTAAAAAAAAGAGAATGAGCCCTTTTAATAATTCCGTAAAGTGTATATTATAAAAACTGTAGACAGCAACTCGTACACGAATATTTATTCGACTATATATATAATAACAAACAGAAATGTAAGGTCAGCTTGAAAGTATTTTAGTTTATCTAGGCTCCAGAAAAGTTCAACATATTTGTCCAGACTCAGAGAAAGTGAAATAATCTTCACCCAGACTAAAAAAAAAGGTTTAGTTCACATCCAGACTATAGAAAAGGGCATAATTTTCTTCCAAACTCCGGAAAAAGGCATAGTCTTCATCCTAGATCCCAAACGGGCATAGTTTTTATTTGGACTAAAAAAAAAGGCATAATCTTTGTCGAGGCTTCAAAGAAGGGCATAGCCTTCGTCCAGGGCATCGATGTATTATACTTATAAGGATTTTATACCAGTTTTTAATGAGGTTCTTCAAGGATTATGGCACATCCTATTAGATTTTTCTGATCCTTTAGTAAAATGAACTTTATTATTTATCTTGCATTTTCAAACTTCCACTACCTACAAGTTTACTATTTATAACTTTACATTCTTTATTGTTAAGATGACGTTCATTTTAAAAAAATTTTTCTAGTTAGCTGAAATTAACCGACATACGTGGATCACTGCAGCTGGAAAGGGAGAGTTAGAATTAGAGATGTCCATGATGGATGTAGTACAAACTCATATAATTCCGTCCAAAGATGTTATTGATCCTGATGTTTTACAAGCAATTACAAGTTTGGGATGCTTCAAAGAACAAGAAAAGTTGATAGAAGGATTACTTAGCCCACAGTAAGTCTTCGTTTTACGTTTGTTAATACGTGTTTGAGTTTTAAAATAATAATATCCAAGATGCAAAAAGAAAATGAAACATTTTTTTTTATCATAAGCAAGATGAAAAAGCTTAAATTCAGTTTTGAATAAATACTGCAGATCAACAAAAAGAAAAATAATATGCCTACATCAGTTACTTTTATAAGCTACAAGAAATAAAAATTTGAGACACAATAAGTAAAAAATGTCTCAGATTACAAAAAAATTGTTTTCCAGGGTAAAACCAAGGATGACAAACGGACGATGTGAGACTTAATAACTCTGAGGTGTGCGTCACATTAAATTTTTTGTACCCCCAGTGGCAAATACATGCTGACATCAACTTAGTTGCTAGAAATTTTTTTTTAGCCCTTTTAAAATCCAACATAATTTAACACAAATGGGTTAGAATAATATTCTTGATTAGGCATGTTTTTTTATGTGAAACATCTAATGGCACGCTTGGAGGTTCAACCACCTCGATGAAGCGACCGTGCAATGGCACGATCTCCAATTTAACTCAGGTTGGCTCAGCTTGGCTAGGCTTTCTGTCTCTTTCTCCACGCCCTTACTGCCCATCCCTTTCTGCTTGCAAAGCGTAATTACCTCATATACAGTTATATAGAAAAGTAAATAACAATGAAATATCATACGTGTTTGTATGCAAGTAAGTGTGTGTGTGACGTGTATGTTAGTCATAGTATATATATACTAGTGGGGCTCCGCACGCCAACCCCCCCTTTTATTGTGTAATAAATATAATTTTTTCAAAATAACGTTTGTGTAAATATTTTTCAAAGCCTTAAAAAATTATAAAATTAATTGTTAGTATGAAAATAATATATTGAAGTATATTTTACAAAATTCGGAAGACTATGGCATTTTTCGAAAATACTCGGGAATAAATTTTTTACGCTAGAGAATGATTACTAGTCTGCTTTTAAGGAAATATGAAGAACAAGCGGCTCATTTTAAATAAAAGTGGTAAAGTTTATATAGACATAGACATGTGCCCTTGACTTTTTGTTGGTGAGTTTTATTATTTCTTCTAGTGCCTCCCTTTTTTAAATGAGCTGTCTATCCTGTATATGTCAATCGATTTTTCTAAGCTTTTATAACTATACTAGCAGCCCCCCGTCTCAGCTTTACCCGAGACTTACTAAACAAAACACCGTAGTGTGTTGACATGTAATGTGAAACGTTTTCAGTTAGCAATTCCACACATATTTCTGACGCATCACAGAACAAAAGTATTCCTATTAAAAATATATTTTTTTGGAATCCGTATAGTTTATTTGGTCAAACAAAAAGGTGTAAAAATTCAAAAAATAATTATGCTGAAAAGTACCGTGCGTTTTTAATGCCATAAAATAATCGGTGGCTTAAAGTAGCCGTTTATTTACAGTTTCTCCCGTGTAATTCACGAAAAAAGGCTATTTTTTAAAGCTGTTAAGATTTCAAACCTCCAAAAAATTTATATTAAAAAAAGTTTTTTTTTCTTATATCTCACAACTTTATTACTAGGGCAACAAAGTCCTGGACCTTAAACCCTGCATTTTAATTGCCACAAAAACACAGATACATTTTCTACTTATTTAAAAATCTGAGTAGGATCTTTAAAGATTTTAGAGATTGCTGTGAGGGTACAATGAAAAGCTAATCTCTCACGTAAAGGATTCTTTATTTGTCGATTTTGACGCTGCTGTTTCAAGCTCGATAAAATTTCTGCGTCAGTTTCTTGATGCCTAAGTAAAGTTGTATTTATTAGAAACATTTAATGTTTTTCTTCCAATCTACTCTCTTGCGACTTTTGGCATGCTTAAAATTTTTGTGACCCCTAAAGACTGTTTTCTGTCAACTTTGTTAAGTTCTAATGTATTTGTTGGCAAGGTAGTTCGACGTCCGATGGTCCTAAAGAAGACCGGTGAGCTTCTTAAGTTAACTCTTTCTTGACTGCAGTTAACAGCAATTGTGACTGCCTGGATACCTTAGGGTGATCTTCTTTGGCCTGCTGTTGAAAACCCAGACTGGTCGGGAGAAAAATTACAAAGTCCGAAGCTTTGGGGCTAGTTAAAGTGCTCTTTCTCAACGTCTACCGGTATAACGTCGGAGACGTTGGCGTCTCAACCATTTTTTTATTTGCAGATTCAGTTGTTTTGGTAATCTTAGATAGGGAGATTGGTTAGTGATACTTGTCCAGTGGAGGCTGTCCCGTTGGCTCAAGTTTTTTTTCCTTCATAGCTGTTATAGGTTTGCCCAGTGCAGACCTTGAATAGAATCAGTGATTCCTGTTTGAATGCTTAGAGTCGAAAGGGTAATATAGGGTCGTCGGTCACCAGGTTTTCCAGCCTTGCGAAGAACAACTCCGCAGGTGACGTCTGCTAGTGAATGGCTGACTTGGTTGAATAGTGCCCGTCTTTAGTTAATATAGTCTTTTAGTCGACGAATCGCTTCCGGAAATTATAGTAAAAATGTATTTGTTGGCAAGGTAGTTTACACTCAGGTGGCCCCTAAAAAGAACCGATGAAATTGATGGTTAAGTAGGGAACGTAAATACGTGTAATGGCCCTAAAAAGCGCCAGTGATGAAACTTCCAGGCTATTCTTTATCATTATTTCTGATGATGAAAAGCTGGCTACTGGTAGCTTGATTCTTACGCTAGGAGTCTCTGTGTACGGAGACTGTGATGGAGGGAGGTACGCCGCTGACCAAAGAATATCTCGTCTTCGGGTCTTCCCGGATAACTAACCGCTTATCATTAGACGAAAACATGTGGATAAGCGCGTTGGGGTTGCGATGACTAAGAAGGTAGCCATTGTGGCTGCCCGTGCCCCTCAGAGCTGTGTTTTCCCTGGCTTACAATTATAGCCGAAAATTTTCTGACTGCACCTGGCGGGATAGGGAATTCCGTTGAACTGCCACACAACTTTAAAGAGTTGGTGCAGAATGAGCTCTGGCTAGATATGTCTCCTGGTATCATGCCAGAGACGTCATTGGTTAGAATTATTTTTTTTGGATCGCACTCGTTGAGATTCAGGGTTAATGAAAACCTAGGTCCCTTTCCCCTTGGAGAAGAGTGTCGTCCGTAACCGGGATATCCAGCTGCAATACTATCATCTTCATTCTCGATGTAGCTGGTTGAACTGCTGAAGAACGGTTGCATCAGTTATCGAGACGCTCCGACATATTATAACCACACTTATTTAATTCTGTTACAGGTAGCCTCTATTTTATGTCGACGCCACCTAGCGGATTTTACTGAACTAAAGTGAAAAGATAGCGTATTTTTGCAAAACTTTGAGCTCATTTATTGCTATTGTTAATTAATTTTTAAGGATAAAAACTATGATAAACCCATCTAGGAAGTATCATGAATCAGTGTGCGAAATTTCAGCGAAATCGGTTCAGTAGTTTTCGCAGTTGGCGATTACAACGGTTTTAGCGACTTTGCTTTATATATTTGTAAGATACGCCCCCTGCGTGCTCCACGCACCAACCCCCGGAATTGCAAATTAGATTTACGAAGTATAAAAATAAACCTGAATTATATTAATTGTTACTTAAAATTTATATATGTAGAAAATGTATATTAATCATAATTAATTACATGAATTTTTAACAATCA